AAACGGATATTAGATTATTACTATTTCTTCAATGAGATAAATGATAATAGCACGCATATATTTAAAGGAAAAAAACGATATAAAAGAAATACAATACAAAAATGCACCCGCATCTATTCATGGAAAATGTGTTAGATGTATAACTTTTACACATTATATCATCTTATACCATGATAGTTTCAGCAATTTTCGTTTAATTTATTTGAACATGGAAAAATATTTCAATATTGCTTTAAATACATCGAACCACCTGTAGTCATAAAGAATAACAAAAAATACAGCCTACGGTAAAAAAAAAAAAAATCCGTAGTGACGTCACTATTCGTCGGTCGTTTTTTGTTTCCGTTTAGCAGACGAATTTCCGTAGAATTCCAGCCCTGACCCTCTCACGAAACCCCCACGTGTTCCTCCAAGTCAGTTGGATTTAGACGTCCTGCTGTAAACATTTACCTCTGATTATCTATCGCTTCTCTCTGTTTGTCTGTCTATCTATGTGTTTCTGTTTATCTATCACTAACCCTATCTCTATCTATCACTATCTGTCCCTGTCTCTAGCTATCCCTATCTCCCTCTCTCTGGCTATCTATATCACTCTATCTCTCTATATACATCTCTCTCGCTATCTCTTTATCTTCTTTCTATACCAATAGCTGTCTCTTCTCTCCCTCCTCCCTCCCTTTCTCTCTTTCTCTCTCTCTCTCTCTCTCTCTCTCTCTCTCTCTCTCTCTTATATATATATATATATATATATATATATATATATATATATATATTTTCTCTCTATCCATCTACCTATTTCTCCATATCTATCTCTTCTCTGTGTATGCCCGTCTCTTTTTCTTTACATCTATATATCTCTTGTATATATATATATATATATATATATATATATATATATATATATATATATATATATATATACATTCTCTTCTCTCTCTCCATTGTAACAGTGAAGTGGCAATCTCCTTGCCTCGGCCGTGAAGGACGGAGCTCCGAAGGGTGAAATGCGGGAACCGAGACAATTCTTGGAAGCCCCTGAGAACAAACTTCCTTGGCGTTGTCTTGTATATAAAACGGGCGACTGATGACTAGCAGAGGGAGTTCGAGATTCCATACAATCAAGAGGCATTTGAAAGGCTATGGTTGTTGGTGTTTTAGTGTGGGGTTGTAGGTGGGGTGAGGGAGGGGGGAGGGGGATTACAGCGTGTCTATGGTAAAAATGTCGATGTCTTGAGCTGGAGATTTGAGCTTCTGAGGAGGGGGAGGAAAATGCTGCGGTGTCAAGGATAGCTTCGGCAGTGAATTGCTGTCGTGGGTTAAGTTGCCCAGTGCTATAAGATGAGGTTTATACCAGTGTTTGTCATTTTGACGATTTTTTTTCCCGCTAAATCTAACGAATTTGACAGTCAATCCGGCGGGAGAAAATGCTGAAATGTGCAAGAGTAGCTAGTGATTTTTTATTTCTTATTTACTTTTTTTATTTATTTATTTTTTGTCAGATCTAGCGAGAATATTTTAGAGCCTTACTTATAATCACGCGGATTTTGAAGAAAAAAAATAGTTGGCAACGCTGGTTTATTCACCAGGCAGAAGGCTAAAGATTTCCAATTTCCTTAGTTCTCGACTCAACCAATTTTGCACAGTTTTTTTTCTTCTCCTCACTTTTTCCTTCAACTCTCCATCTCCTTCTTATACCCAGTTCCTAATATGTGAGACCCCGTGTTGAAAGGACAAAAGGCTGGCTCTGGGTCAGTCCTGAACAGCCTCATGGACCTCTTGGAGACTCTGAAAGGTGAACCACGTACCCAAGGTTCACAATAGCCAGCAGGGATTTTGTACCTATGTTACGGCCGTTGAGACTCGCCCTTTTTTTATCAACTTGCCCCAGTGATATTAACCTCTTCTGTTTCCCGACCCCTGGCTCTCCTTTGACCACGCCTTTGACCTCGACTACTTTCCCCTCTTCGATACCTGCTGTCAGCCCTCCCCCCCCTCCTCGATACCTGCTGTCAGCCCCCCCCCCCACTCCCCTCCTCGATACCTGCTGTCAGCTCAGTCCATTCCAAAGAACATTTCCAGGTCGTTACCCAACCTTCAGAAAACATCCTTCCCTACATCTACCTCTTTCTCTGCACTTCAGACGTCTTGTCCTCTTCTCCCCCATGAGAAAACCTTCGTTTCTCGGACCTACATTTACCTCTTCTCCCTCATGAGAAAACCTTCGTTTCTCGGACCTGCATTTACCTCTTTCCCCCATGAGAAAACCTTCGTTTCTCGGACCTGCATTTACCTCTTCTCCCCATGAGAAAACCTTCGTTTCTCGGACCTGCATTTACCTCTTCTCCCCCATGAGAAAACCTTCGTTTCTCGGACCTACATTTACCTCTTCTCCCTCATGAGAAAACCTTCGTTTCTCGGACCTGCATTTACCTCTTCTCCCCCATGAGAAAACCTTCGTTTCTCGGACCTGCATTTACCTCTTCTCCCCCATGAGAAAACCTTCGTTTCTCTCGGACCTGCATTTACCTCTTCTCCCTCATGAGAAAATCTTCGTTTCTCGGACCTGCATTTACCTCTTCTCCCTCATGAGAAAATCTTTCGTTTCTCGGACCTGCATTTACCTCTTCTCCCCCATGAGAAAACCTTCGTTTCTCGGACCTGCATTTACCTCTTCTCCCCCATGAGAAAACCTTCGTTTCTCGGACCTGCATTTACCTCTTCTCCCTCATGAGAAAACTTTTTTTTCGACCTGCATTTACCTCTTCTCCCTCATGAGAAAACCTTCGTTTCTCGGACCTGCATTTACCTCTTCTCCCATGAGAAAATCTTCGTTTCTCGGACCTGCATTTACCTCTTCTCCCTCATGAGAAAACTTCGTTTCTCGGACCTGCATTTACCTCTTCTCCCTCATGAGAAAATCTTCGTTTCTCGGACCTGCATTTACCTCTTCTCCCTCATGAGAAAACTTCGTTTCTCGGACCTGCATTTACCTCTTCTCCCCCATGAGAAAACCTTCGTTTCTCGGACCTGCATTTACCTCTTCTCCCTCATGAGAAAACCTTCGTTTCTCGGACCTGCATTTACCTCTTCTCCCTCATGAGAAAACCTTCGTTTCTCGGACCTGCATTTACCTCTTCTCCCTCATGAGAAAATCTTTGTTTCTCGGACCTGCATGTCTCCCCATGAAAACCTTCGTTTCTCGACCTGCATTTACCTCTTCTCCCTCATGAGAAAACCTTCGTTTTCTCGACCTGCATTTACCTCTTCTCCCTCATGAGAAAACCTTCGTTTCTCGGACCTGCATTTACTCTTTCTCCCTCATGAGAAAACCTTCGTTTCTCGGACCTGCATTTACCTCTTCTCCCTCATGAGAAAACCGTTTCTCGACCTGCATTTACCTCTTTCTCCCTCATGAGAAAACTTCGTTTCTCGGCCTACATTTACCTCTTCTCCCCATGAGAAAATTCGTTTCTCTCGGACCTGCATTTACCTTCTTCTCCCCCATGAGAAAATCGTTTCTCTCGGACTGCATTTACCTCTTCTCCCCTCATGAGAAAATCTTGTTTCTCGGACCTGCATTTACCTCTTCTCCCCATGAGAAAACCTTCGTTTCTCGGACCTGCATTTACCTCTTCTCCCTCATGAGAAAATCTTCGTTTCTCGGACCTGCATTTACCTCTTCTCCCCATGAGAAAACCTTCGTTTCTTGCATTTTACCTCTTCTCCCTCATGAGAAAACCTTCGTTTCTCGGACCTGCATTTACCTCTTCTCCCTCATGAGAAAACCTTCGTTTCTCGGACCTGCATTTACCTCTTCTCCCTCATGAGAAAAACTTCGTTTCTCGACCTGCATTTACCTCTTCTCCTCATGAGAAAATCTTCGTTTCTCGGACCTGCATTTACCTCTTCTCCCCCATGAGAAAACCTTCGTTTCTCGGACCTACATTTACCTCTTCTCCCCCATGAGAAAACGTTTCTCGGACCTGCATTTACCTCTTCTCCCCCCTCGGACCTACATTTACCTCTTCTCCCCCATGAGAAAATCTTCGTTTCTCGGACCTGCATTTACCTCTTCTCCCCATGAGAAACCTTCGTTCTCGGACCTACATTTACCTCTTCTCCCTCATGAGAAAACTTCGTTTCTCGGACCTGCATTTACCTTCTCCCCCATGAGAAAACCTCATTTACCTCTTCGAGAAAACTTCGTTTCTCGGACCTGCATTTACCTCTTCTCCCTCATGAGAAAATCGTTTCTCGGACCTGCATTTACCTCTTCTCCCTCATGAGAAAATCTTCGTTTCTCGGACCTGCATTTACCTCTTCTCCCTCATGAGAAAATCCTCGTTTCTCGGACCTGCATTTACCTCTTCTCCCTCATGAGAAAACCTTCGTTTCTCGGACCTGCATTTACCTCTTCTCCCCATGAGAAAAAACCTTCGTTTCTCGGACCTACATTTACCTCTTCTCCCCCATGAGAAAACCTTCGTTTCTCGGACCTACATTTACCTCTTCTCCCTCATGAGAAAACCTTCGTTTTCGGACCTGCATTTACCTCTTCTCCCTCATGAGAAAAACCTTCGTTTCTCGGACCTACATTTACCTCTTCTCCCCCATGAGAAAACCTTCGTTTCTCGACCTGCATTTACCTTTCTCCCCATGAGAAAACTTCGTTTCTCGGACTTTTACCTCTTCTCCCCATGAGAAAACTTCGTTTCTCGGACCTGCATTTACCTCTTCTCCCCCATGAGAAAACCTTTCGTTTCTCGGACCTACATTTACCTCTTCTCCCCATGAGAAAACCTTCGTTTCTCGGACCTGCATTTACCTCTTCTCCCTCATGAGAAAACCTTCGTTTCTCGGACCTGCATTTACCTCTTCTCCCCATGAGAAAACCTTCGTTTCTCGACCTGGAGAAAAACCTTCGTTCTCGGACCTGCATTTACCTCTTCTCCCCATGAGAAAATCTTCGTTTCTCGGACCTGCATTTACCTCTTCTCCCTCATGAGAAAACCTTTGTTTCTCGGACCTGCATTTACCTCTTCTCCCATGAGAAAACCTTCGTTTCTCGGACCTGCATTTACCTCTTCTCCCCCATGAGAAACCTTCGTTTCTCGGACCTGCATTTACCTCTTCTCCCCATGAGAAATTCGTTTCTCGGACCTGCATTTACCTCTTCTCCCCCATGAGAAAACCTTCGTTTCTCGGACCTGCATTTACCTCTTCTCCCTCATGAGAAACCTTCGTTTCACCTGCATTTACTCTTCTCCCTCATGAGAAAACTTCGTTTCTCGGACCTGCATTTACCTCTTCTCCCATGACCATGAGAAAACCTTCGTTTCTCGAACCTGCCTACCTCATTTACCTCTTCTCCCTCATGAGAAACCTTCGTTCTCGGACCTGCATTTACCTCTTCTCCCTCATGAGAAAACCTTCGTTTCTCGGACCTGCATTTACCTCTTCTCCCCATGAGAAAACCTTCGTTTCTCGGACCTGCATTTACCTCTTCTCCCCATGAGAAAACCTTCGTTTTCGACCTGCATTTACCTCTTCTCCCATGAGACTTCGTTTCTCGGACCTGCATTTACCTCTCCCTCATGAGAAAAACCTTCGTTTCTCGGACCTGCATTTACCTCTTCTCCCTCATGAGAAAACCTTCGTTTTCCGGACCTGCATTTACCTCTTCTCCCCCATGAGAAACCTTCGTTTCTCGGACCTACATTTACCTCTTCTCCCTCATGAGAAAAACCTTCGTTTCTCGGACCTGGATTTACCTCTTCTCCCTCATGAGAAAACCTTCGTTTCTCGGACCTGCATTTACCTCTTCTCCCCCATGAGAAAATTCGTTTCTCGACCTGCATTTACCTCTTCTCCCCCATGAGAAAACCTTCGTTTCTCGGACCTGCATTTACCTCTTCTCCCTCATGAGAAAACCTTCGTTTCTCGGACCTGCATTTACCTCTTCTCCTCATGAGAAAACTTTCGTTTCTCGGACCTTACCTCTTCTCCCTCATGAGAAAACCTTCGTTTCTCGGACCTACATTTTACCTCTTCTCCCTCATGAGAAAACTTCGTTTCTCGGACCTACATTTACCTCTTCTCCCTCATGAGAAAAACCTTCGTTTCTCGGACCTGCATTTACCTCTTCTCCCATGAGAAAACCTTCGTTTCTCGACCTACATTTACCTCTTCTCCCCCATGAGAAACTTCGTTTCTCGGACCTACATTTACCTCTTCTCCCTCATGAGAAAACCTTCGTTTCTCGGACCTACATTTACCTCTTCTCCCTCATGAGAAAATCTTCGTTTCTCGGACCTACATTTACCTCTTCTCCCTCATAAGAAAACCTTCGTTTCTCGGACCTGCATTTACCTCTTCTCCCCCATGAGAAAATCTTCGTTTCTCGGACCTGCATTTACCTCTTCTCCCCCATGAGAAAACCTTCGTTTCTCGGACCTGCATTTACCTCTTCTCCCCATGAGAAAATCTTCGTTTCTCGGACCTGCATTTACCTCTTCTCCCTCATGAGAAAACCTTCGTTTCTCGGGCCTACATTTACCTCTTCTCCCTCATGAGAAAACCTTCGTTTCTCGGACCTACATTTACCTCTTCTCCCTCATGAGAAAACCTTCGTTTCTCGGACCTACATTTACCTCTTCTCCCCCATGAGAAAACCTTCGTTTCTCGACCTGCATTTACCTCTTCTCCCCCATGAGAAAACCTTCGTTTCACCTGCATTTACCTCTTCTCCCCCATGAGAAAACCTTCGTTTCTCGGACCTGCATTTACCTCTTCTCCCTCATGAGAAAATCTTCGTTTCTCGGACCTGCATTTACCTCTTCTCCCTCATGAGAAAACCTTCGTTTCTCGGACCTGCATTTACCTCTTCTCCCCCATGAGAAACCTTCGTTTCTCGGACCTGCATTTACCTCTCTCCCTCATGAGAAAACCTTCGTTTCTCGGACCTGCATTTACCTCTTCTCCCCCATGAGAAAAACCTTCGTTTTCTCGGACCTGCATTTACCTCTTTCTCCCTCATGAGAAAACTTCGTTTTCTCGGACCTGATTTACCTCTTCTCCCCATGAGAAAACCTTCGTTTCTCGGACCTGCATTTACCTCTTCTCCCCCATGAGAAAACCTTCGTTTCTCGGACCTGCATTTACCTCTTCTCCCTCATGAGAAAACCTTCGTTTCTCGGACCTGCATTTACCTCTTCTCCCCCATGAGAAAACCTTCGTTTCTCGGACCTGCATTTACCTCTTCTCCCTCATGAGAAAACTTCGTTTCTCGGACCTGCATTTACCTCTTCTCCCCCATGAGAAAACCTTCGTTTCTCGGACCTGCATTTACCTCTTCTCCCTCATGAGAAAACCTTCGTTTCTCGACCTGCATTTACCTTCTCCCCCATGAGAAAACTTCGTTTCTCGGACCATTTACCTCGAGAAACCTTCGTTTCTCCTATTTACCTCTTCTCCCCCATGAGAAAACCTTCGTTTCTCGGACCTGCATTTACCTCTTCTCCCCCATGAGAAAACCTTCGTTTCTCGGACCTGCATTTACCTCTTCTCCCCCATGAGAAAACCTTCGTTTCTCGGACCTCATTTACCGAGAAAACCTTCGTTTCTCGGACCTACATTTACCTCTTCTCCCCCATGAGAAAACCTTCGTTTCTCGGACCTACATTTACCTCTTCTCCCCCATGAGAAAACCTTCGTTTCTCGGACCTTCCCCAACCAACTCCGTTACAGAAAATCTCGAGGACATCCCAAACTTATCTAATTATGGTCCAAGATAACATGTCTCTACCTCATCCGTCTAACTTACCTCATTCCTTTGAGATGTAACTTTTGTCTCAATAAACGTGTCAAAGTCAAAGTCAGCTCCCCTTTCTACACTCAAAGTGACTGCCTCCAATTCATGTTCCCTTTATCTACCCCTTCCTCCCACTCCCTTTCAACACCCTATTCTCTCCTGCTTCATCTACACCCTTCTTTCTTGCCTGTTATGCCTTTCCACTTCCTCGAGAATACACATGTGACTCCCTGGATTGTTTTTTCCTCCAGACATCTCTCCTGAAACTGTTCTGTGATCTAATCGCCTTATCCTAACTCCTTCTGTTCCTCTCTTTGTCTCCCTTTCCGTTCTTATCCCTCTCCCTCTCTTTCCTCTCCTTTTCCCCCTTTCCCTCCCTCCTTCTCCCTTCCCCCTCTCCTTCCCCTCCTCCTCCCCCTCTCCTTCCCCCTCCTCCTCCTCCCCCCTCTTCCTCCTCCCTCCTCCCCTCCCTTCCCCTCCTTATCCCTCCCTACCCCTCTCTATCCCACACCCATCCCAGCCTCTCCTTCTCTACCCCCGCCCAGAACCCCGTGGCGGCCGAGGGGTGGCAGGGGGTGCGAGACGGGACCCAGGTGGCCCCCAAGTGCCCCCAGGTAGATCTCTTCGCGCTCCTCGTGACGGGGGCGCTTGCCTTCGAGGGGAGCGAGGACTGCCTGTACCTCACCGTCTACACGCCGAAGGTTGGTGAATTCATCCTTTTTTCGGGTTGAACGAAAAGGTGAGAGTCTTGTGTACATTTTTTTAGAGAAACACAAACACATACATGCAGATACACACATACACAGAATTATACATACATACACATATATACACGTACATAAACACACACACACACACACACACACACACACACACACACACACACACACACACACACACACACACACACACACACACACACACACACACACACACACACGGCACACACTTCCTACTGCAACGTCCGTCCTCTTTCGCTTCCTTTAGAGACTGAATAAAGCACAATATCCTCTAAAACTGCTTGTCACGCTGCTTTCATGGGCGAGTGTATTTTTTTCTGTTTCGTATAGGTAAAATATATATATATATATATATATATATATATATATATATATATGTGTGTGTATCACTGGTAATTTTGTATTTTTCTTTTTTATTAACAATTTTCGATAATATGTTTAGATAATTACCAAGGATAGATTTGTTTACATAATAGCAGTTTACCATTAGCCATAAATGATCACTAAAATGTTGCAAAATTCTAATCCTGCAATGCAAAAAAACATCAGTGTATATCCTTCACACATCAGCTGGAGCGATGAATAGCTTATTGCATGACTGTCACCGCTTGGCATGACCAAAGGGAAATTATTTTCGAATGTTGTGTTGTTCCTGTTGGTGAAAATACTTTATAGCTTCGTGGGTCCAGGATGTCCCAAAAGTTTTACGTCAGGAAGTCACGTGTGCACACTTAATACGCCTTGTATGTATGCGTGTGTGTGTATAGATATGAGAAACATGCAAATATATACGCACACACACGTACGCATACTCAAAAAATGCATAAACACACAGACACAAACGCACGCACACACACACACACACACACACACACACACACACACACACACACACACACACACACACACACACACACACACACACACACACACACACACACACACACACACACACACACACACACACACACACACACACACACACACACGCACACGTCCACACACACACACACCTCCCTCACTCAGTCCCACGCCCCTGAAAGCAACTCTCTCCCGCATCCCAGCCTTTCGAGTCCGACCTCCCCGTGATGGTGTGGATCCACGGCGGGGCGTTCATCCTCGGCAACTCGGAGGACTACCCCGCCCTCCCCCTCCTCACCAAGGACGTGGTCCTCGTCACCGTGCAGTACCGCCTCGGGACACTGGGTAGGCAGCGCCCCCCCCCCCCTTCCTCCTCTCGCTCGATATAGAAAGGGAGAGAGAGAGAGAGAAAGAGAAAGAGAGAGATATTCTAATAACTTCTTGGACAGGATGCTTGCCGTGGCCATGTTGCAGGATTATTAAACATGGCTGGCTTCCTCTCTTCCAAGTAAGAGAGAGAGAGAGAGAGAGAGAGAGAGAGAGAGAGAGAGAGAAAGAGAATAGGAGAGACTTCTTCTTAGAGACAGACTGTATTTTCCTTTATTAATTATTAGTGTATTAACTGGCTTAGTTCATCATCATTATCGTTATTATGATATACATTCTAAAATCTAACATCATGCCATCATTCGGACCGCCATTACACACACAAAAAAAATAATAATTTAGACATTAACAAATAGCCAACAAAGGTCCCTGGCTTTATGTTTCCATATCTAGCTATCTGTCTATCTATATGTCTAATCGTCTATCTATCTATCTCTCTGAATATCTATCTATCTATGAGAAAGAGAGAGGGGGGAAGAAAGGGGGAGGGAGAAGGAGAGAAAGGTATGACTGTATTTGACCGGTTTCATGTATTTCTGACGAAGATGTATTCGAACCCGGCCAAATACATCTCTTGCATTGTGAAAACATTCATTCTCATTCATACCTTTCTCTCCTTCTCCCTCTCCCTCCCCCCCCCCCTGCCATGTCGCAGGATTCCTCTCCACGGGGGACGAGGCGATCCCTGGCAACCTGGGACTGAAGGACCAGGTCATGGCCCTCCGCTGGGTGCAGGACAACATCCGGGATCTGGGCGGCGACCCGGGCAAGGTCACCATCTTCGGGGAGAGCGCCGGCGCTGGCTCCGTGCACCACCACGTGCTGTCGCCATGGCCGCAGGTGGGGCGGGGGCGCGCTGGGCCGTCTCTTCAGCGGGAATTATTTCTATATAGAAATAATAATAATAATGATATTTTTGATAATAATAATAATTATGATAATAATTTTAATAATGATAATAATAATAATAATAATAATAATAATAATAATAATAATAATAATAATAATAATAATAATTAATAATAATAATAAATAATAATAATAATAATAAATAATAATATAATCATTATTATTATTATTATTATAATGATGATGATAATGATAATAATAATAATACAGTTTACTAGCATACATGAATCCGATTCCTGCCCAGGGTTGTTCCAGCGAGCCATCATGCAGTCCGGGGCGGCGCTGTGTCCGTGGGCGCTGAGGGAGGACCACAGGCAGGTGGCGATGAAGATGAGTGACCTGTTCAACTGCTCCGCCGTGGACGAGGCTTCCTCTTCGCTGGACGGCGCCGCGCTGGCCGAGTGCCTGAGGGAAGTGCCCTTCGACGAACTCACTGGAGCGCCGAGCAAGTTCATGGCGAGTTGATTTGCGGAGCTCTGTGGGAGAGCGAGTCAGACGCCATTTTTTTTTTTTTTTTTAAGCTTCAGAAATCGGTCGTATAGTTTTACATTCCAACAGAGGCGAGAACTACGCAGTATTGTATGGAGGTTTAGGCCGTGTTGACATAGAAGACAATCAAAGCGACATCTATAGTGGAAGAGGACGCCTTGAGCTCCCGTTCGCGCGCGTAAACACGTTTCGTTCTTGTTATTGTTGTATGCTAGCGAGATGTTCCTACAGCCAGTCGAGTAACTGATCTGTTTAAGGAAATACCAAACCAGATTCATCAATTTTGCAGTGTCAAGAAATCTGGTCATTTTATTTGTCGTAATTCTCCAGTGGTATTGTAGCCATGAGGTGTTTGGAGCAAAAGTTTTACCAATCAGTATTTTCACTGTCCCTTATTCTTTAAATCTGACTAAGGATTCCTGCTGCCCACGCCGAGACCTTCTTAATGAAAAACAATGATCTACGGTGAATTTTTCACTTCCTGCAAATTCATGGTTTTGAATCCCTCTTGGATAATTAGCATTCCTATAAATATATACTCATGGGTATCATAAATTCATAAAAATAAATAAATAAATATGAAATAAGAAAATAAGAATTACAGTTTTTCGAGTAATCCTTTGATATAATTCACGTGGGCGCCTCCCCCTTCAGGTCATCAACAACGGCCCTGTGGTGATGACCCCAGGCGTGGACGGGGAGTACCTGCCGGAGCACCCCGCCGTTCTCCTGCGGGAGGGAAGGTACAACAAGGTCGACATCATCTCCGGCATCAACCGAAACGATGGCGCCTTGTCAAGCACTCGTAAGGGCATGGGACAAAATTCCAACTCCTCTGGCATGAACAAGTTTATCTTATTGGCATTATTGTTATCACTGCATACCAAACCTTAATTGATACTTACCATATATATCAGGAAGGGGTTCTGCGTTCTAATTTCAAAACTACAAACGACCTCGGTGTTTATGGAGCTCCCTTTGACCCCCGTAGATAGTCCCATCGACCCCTTCGGAGACCCCTGCCCTCAAAGACAGCCTGCTCTTTGGGATAAATAATACCTAGTAAAGTCCAATGGTCGTAATTGTGGTTTATTAGAAGTTGAGATTAGAGGAAACAACAGTTCTTGCATCACCCCCTGTGCCTCTTTGCTTCAGAGGAAGTTTAGAAGTAGCGTGCATTTGCGTCAGAGTGGGTTGTATAGAAATAAAGTGGGTAAGATTAACCCTTAATATTCCCTATAAAGGATGCCATCGTGAGAGACATTAGATAGGAACAAATGCGATGGAATAACATCAGCATGAGATTATTTTATATTAATTCTTGGAGGTATTGTCTAGGTCGTGTCTGCGTGCATGTGCATGAGATTATTTTATATTAATTCTTGGAGGTATTGTCTAGGTCGTGTCTGCGTGCATCCTTAGTTAGTCAGGGTTTTGTGACTTTGCATGTGTTTTTAGGCACGCTGAAGATATATCGAGGACTTTCATTCATTCGCTGCGGTACCATATCCTTCAGGACGTCAGCAATTACTGGACGCCATGTCTCTATTCCTTGTTTGTTGTATGGGGTATGCAGCTGTGGTTTGCCCTCCGAACAGTCTTGTTAGACCATTCATATTTTTTTTTTCTCTTTGTCTTCCTCTCGCTCTTGTACCTTCGATCATTTTTTTTCCAGGGTATATTCCAGGCCTCCTTCTCTTACGGTGTGACCCAAAACAATTTCGGTTGCCTCACTCTTACAATTTTCAGCGTCTTAAATCTTTCCATTTAACTTGAATACTATTTAGCATCTCCACCGGCGAATGTTGGTGTGACAGCAACAGTGGAGGGCAAAGCCGACTTCATATGTGGGCATTTAGCTAGTCTCCATAGAAAAGGACTGGAGGCCTTATTTTGTAACTATGATTATGGAACGTCTTATATAGAAGTCTGCAGATGCCAAAAGCCACCATTTCTCTCGTCCTCGCACAGCCTACCTGGCCGACCCACCTTTACTGGACAGTCTGTTTGCGAACTTCAGCGTGAACGGACCGATTTCCTTAAACTTCGAGGCCTGGGAGGACGACCCCGATTACCTGACACGGCGGGCCTACCACCACTACCTAGGTCCTCTGGCGGTCCCCCTGGAGAAGGCCGAGCAGTTCACGCAGGTGGGGACCGCTCGTCACTGCCAGGGGGGGGGGGGGGGGTACTTGTGCTTTAGGGTGACGTGAGATCTCGCAGCGTGTGGGAGAGCCGACTTGGTTCTGATCGTTTAGTCTATGGAAAACTAAACATTGATGCGGTTTTTGTACGTTTTCACACGTGCATACATGTAAATACATACATAGATTAATTCATTAATAAACATAAAAATATCGATGTATATATGGATATATAACATCATATATATGCATATACAAGTGGTTAAAGATAGATTAGGCAGACAAAGATAAATAATTGAATATAAATATATACATCCATACAAATATCCATGTAAATATGCACACACGCGTATACACACAACTATCTTTGTTCTCCAGATGTACACCGACAGAATGTTCAGCACGTGCCACATGGACGCCGTGCAGCACCACATGCGGGATGAGGCTTCAGGGAACCGCGTCTTCGCCTACGAACTCCAGCATCGCGGGGAACACAGCTTCTTTGACGATATATACCCTCTGGGTAACGTTAGCAAAGACTGTAAGTAAATGGTGGCAGCTTTTTTTTTTGGCGCGCGTGTTTTTTTCTTGTTAGGGGAAGTTAGAGTAGAATATGTAATAAATAGCAAGCATTTACACTATGATCTGTTCGATGAGTTTCATGTTCAAATTGAAATGTGTTTATTAAGTCGCAAATAAATGAAATACGAAGTACGAGTTGCAAGAGTGTAGCGACTGAGCATCCCGTCCGCCAGGGGTCTGTCACGGAGACGATATTCAGTATCTGTTCTACAAAGAGACCGACAACAAGGACCTGACAAGGAGCGAGGACCGTTTCGTCAGCCGCATCATGGTGGACCTCTGGACCAACTTCGCCTCGGCTGGGTGAGGCTCTGAGGCTTTCCTGGTGTTTCGTTTCAAAAGAGAGCGAAAAAGGCGATTCAGTGAAGTCAGATTTGAATGTAATGAAAGAAAGATGAGGTCTTCCTATCGTTTGTTTCAGAAGAGAAAAAGAAAGGCGATTCAGTGGTCAAGTTTGAGTGCAATGAAAGGAATTAGATGAGGTTTTCCCGCCACTTATTAATAAAAAAAGGCGATTAAGAGAAAAATTTAAGTGTAATCAGAGGAAGTAGATGTCCTTTGTTTCAAAACGCGATGACTAAATCGAATACGAAAAGGAAGATAATCTAACCAAATGAAACAGATCCTTAAAATTACAAATAACGAAATATTCTAAAAATTCTCCTCAGGCACCCAACGCCCGACCTCTCCCTGGGCTTCATCTGGGCACCGATGACGAGTGCCAGTGAGTCCTACCTGGCCATCACTCCTGCGCCCTTCATGGAGGACTACCAGAACCAAGAGGTAACTCCCGCTGACCACTTTAAACATCAGTCAAACACCTAACACAGCACCTAAGCCAACCACTTTCGGTTCATAATGGAGGTATATAATTTCTTGACGAATATGGGGAATAAAGTAATTCAATATGGTTCTTTTCCACTCTACGTAGGTACTAGAATTCTGGAGGAACATGCCAACGAGGACGAACAAGTTGCTCTACAAGGACCGCTTCACCCCGAGCCCTGTGTACTAGACCAGTGTACTGAGAGAGAGAGAGAGAGGAGGAGAGAGGGAGAGAGAGGGGGAGAAGGAGAGAGTGAGAGAGGGGGTGGAGGAGAGGAGAGAGAGAGAGAGGAGAGAGAGAGAGAGAGAGAGAGAGAGAGGGGGAGAGAGAGAGGGGGGGGAGAGAGAGAGAGAGAGAGAGGAGGAGGGAGAGAGAGAGGGGGAGGGAGAGAGAGAGAGGGGGGAGAGGAGAGAGAGAGAGAGAGTAAGAGAGGGAGAGAGGGTGGGAGAGGAGAGAGAGAGAGAGAGAGAGAGAGAGAGAGAGAGAGAGAGAGTGTCTAGGGAACGAGGGATAGGGAGGAGGTGCCACTGACTCCTGAGTGCCGCTCTACAAAGTGCCTATTACCACCTTGAATGCATTTGACAGTTACAGTAGATGGTTTGGAGCAATATTAATGCAACTAGTTAAGCGTTTAATACAGGGGTTCGCAACCTTGTTAGTCTGGTGAGACACTAAACATCTTTCACTCATCTGACTTCAGCAACACCGACATTTAACTTCGAAGAATATGTTTATACGGTTGTTATATATGTATAGATATTATATCAAAAATGTTCATGTTAATGTAAATCATAGCATAAAAAATATCATTATATCATTAAAATATATATTATGTCAACCTTATCATGTATTCAACGAGTGTCCACATCCTCAAAAAAGTAAATAAAGAGATAAGAAAAATACGCATGAAAAATATTGTGCAATACACTAGAAAGGGAGACAAATCCATTGCTATAGTAAAATAAGAAAAAAAAATGGTAAAATAAAAAATAACCACACACAAGTAGTAAAATTGGGATTGTACATTAATGGAATTGTGACAATTCAACCATTGAATAAGTGTTTCAAAATAAATTGGGATCTAAATGTACTGTTTCGTTTACCTCTACTCTATGTACGTATTCATGTTCATGTTCATGTACATATATATATTCAGGTCGACATTAAAGACCCAGCAACCTCCGGACTTGCGGAGTGCCGGATTTTCGAAAATGCCGGATTTTTTTATATTTGTTATGCTGTATGTTCTTAACAGAAAATAAACATGTGCACAGAAAGAAACGCAAACAGTAAATGAAAGGTTGTATGACTAAATATAAATATAGCCCATATATAACACGGTGTCATATATATATATACATAAATATATATATAATATATATTTATATATATATTATATATATATATATTTATATACATATATATATACACACACACACACACATATATATATATATATATGCGCGCACGCGCGCGTGTGTGTTTGTGTGTGTGTGTGTAGTTATACTGTTATATATATATATATATATATATATATATTTATATATATATATAATATATATACATACATACATACGTATATGTAAACATATATATATACACATATGTATACATATATGTATACATACATATATATATATATATATATATATATATATATTATATATATATATATATATATGTGTGTGTGTGTGTGTGTGTGTGTGTGTGTGTGTGTATACATATATGTATATATATATATATATAATATATATAATATATATGTATATATATATGAATACACGCACATACATATATATACACAAAGAAACACACACACGCACATACACTCACACAAACATTTATATATATATATATATATATATATATATGTATATAATATACGTATATATTATATATATATAATGTATATACGTATGTATATATATATAATATATATATACATATATATATATATATATTTTTATGTTTATTTGCGTGTATGGAATTATACAAACTCACGCATGTGTGTATGTATGTATGTATGTATGTATATGTATATATACACATACATATATATATATATATATATATATATATATATATTATATATATATGTATATATACACATGTGTGTGTATATATATTTATATATATATGTATATATATGTGTATATATGAATACATACACATACATACATAGATACATACACACATGCGTGAGTTTGTATAGTTCCATACACACACGCACATAAACATAAAAACCCATAAACACAACACGGAAATATGAAAATGTTCTAGTCACGTGATGAGCGGATGGGAGTAGGGGCCGGAGGGGGTGGGGGTGAGGCGGAGCCACGTCATGATTCCATGAGGATTCTTTTGCCTTACATTGTGGGGTTTAGGAGCGATGTGGTGACTGATTCTGTGTTTATCATTCATGTTTCACTTCGCAATTTTCTTGGTACCTTTTACGTCCTCCAAAGATTATCAGGGCCAAGATTTACGTTAACTGTTGGGTTTCTATGGCATGATATCGATACATTTGGATAGTATAGAGTGAGTGGAATCCATCGATACCAAAATCTTAATGATCGGCAATGCGAAGGTATTCTGTAAAATTATCAAATTCCAGCATAGAATGATATAGTTATACCTTAAACAAAGTCCGTCGAATCCGATTAAAGAAAATTGTTGAAGGGAAACTAAACTGAAAAGAAAAAATAGTATGACCGACATTCCTTGTAATTGAAGGGTATATAATATATATATATATATAATATACTATATATATATATATATATATATACATATATATATATATATTATATATATATATATAATATATATATATATATATATATATATATATATAGTATTATATATAATATATACATATATATATGTATATATATGTATGTATATATATAATATATATATATATATATATATATATACTATTATATATTATATATATACATATATATATATATATATATATATATATATATATTATATATCTATATATATATATATCTATAATCTATCTATCTATCTATCTATCTATCTATCTATATCTATATATATATATATATATATATATATGAATATATTATATATATATATATATGGTATATATATATCATCGGCCAGAAGCAGTGACACTCTAATTTTGCCATTATTAATGCATTTAATTGGTAAATCGTAACGCTTGATTAGTTATGATGATATAAAATTCTAAGGGAATAAAACCACAAAATAGAGTTTGGTGGTAGTGAGGCTGTAGTTGTAGGTTGTGTTTATGTTAGAGGTGAAATACTTGTGGACGATCTTGGTGGTTACTTTAACTCGAGATAAGGGCCAAAATACCAAGTCGCCTTCTCAAAGTGCCACCTCAGCATCCATACAACCGAACAACCAGGCCTCTGTCTAGATGACCTGGCACCCCTAGGTCTAAAATTCCTGAAGTCAGTTCAGGTTGAAACATCATTGAGTGAAGGTGAATCGGTGTCTCCTCCTGGAACTCATTTGAAGAATACGGCGTGATTAGCCGTGAAAACTAGCTTAACTAACTAGAAATTAATTCTAGTATTAGGGTGAAGTTAGCTGTAGATTCCAGTTCGTCTTTTCCCCGAAGTTAGCGGAAGGCGGGCCTAGGAACTATGGTCAAATTGTAAGTATTATTACTTAATAAATGTATAAGTTCTTTTCACACACAGTGTTTAATATTATCCCATTTTGTCATTCCTACATAATAGGACACTGAACAAAGGAGAGAACCACACCACAGAGATACTGGTTGGGTTGAACACAGTGGTACACGAAACAAAAGAAAACAACACTTATACTAATTAAATCACTTGGAGTACATCGACACGAGAAATACAATATCTATTAAATAAGAACCTATGTCTTGAAGAATAATGATATATATGAGTGAAAATATCAATGATATCGAGATATATGTGAAATAGAGTAATTTAATTCATTTTAAGGTTTCCAGAAATAGTGAATGATGAATCAGAATGATGCCATACTGATCTGAAGTTTTAATGAACAAAAATATTATTGAAACTATCTGAGATAACCTTTGATTAACTTACTAGAGTAAAGTAATAACGAAGATTTATGTTGGGGTAACAATGACCCACATAACATATGGTGGCAGCGAGAAGGATTAATAATAGTATTGTATTCTATGTACTTTAAATAAATTGTCAGTATCGCAGCATTCTGGAAGTGTACGGCAACTATTGCGGGCACCGAGGAAAGTAGAGACTGTTAGACTCACTGACGTACTGGCATGCCAATGAGAGTGTGAGGGACTGCAAAACTGAGTTTTGATTGGCTGAGAGAACAGAGTGTCTGTAACGCTTAAGTTTTAGAGCACGAGCCGCTATCCAATCAGCGACGAGGAATTGGACGAGCATATGACGTCAGACTACGTAAGGTTGACGTAAGACTCGTAGGACCAATCAGACGACGGTAGACTCATGACTGTGACGTCACTGAGCCACTCGCTCGTGATACCGAGAGCGGTAGTCTGAGAGCTGACGCGAGACAGAGAACATCTCTGAAAGTCAATTATTGCATGGCTAAGTCTCCACTATTCCTTAATAGTAACTAGATGAATAAAGTTAATTAAGGGGTAAATTCATGCATGCTTATTGATTACACAGTTCAATATAAAAGGATAATTAGAAATTGATTTGTTTGAGTAATATTTTTGGGTTAGTTATCCCTAAAAGTTTTCTTTCACCAATAGAAATTCATAGAAGACGGAGTGGAGGGCATACTAACTTAACACACTACAATTATACTAAGACGGCTAATACAAATATATAACCTTTTATTATATGAATGGAGGTTTGTCCATGGGTTATGAGTGTTTTATTTTTTCTACTGTCTAGTTTGTTTTGTGTTTTTGATGGTTAACTAATTACGCTTGTTTTCTTGTGTTTACTTGCGTTCTTATTGGTTTTCGCACTGAAGTGACTACAATAACGATGGACTCATAATATTTTGTAATATTGTTGATGCGGGTGACAGTTCATGTCTGAGACAAGATCAAAATCGTCAAATTCTTTAGAAAACAATCCTATAGAGGAGCTGTACGAAGAAAAATACATTTCACTCTTAGAGAAGCTGAACTACTGCTCGACGTAGCAGAATCACCGGGGAGGAAGATAACCCTTGTAATTTACACCCGGTTTCGTTAGGAAAACGCAAAATGGACGCGCGATTTGAGCTTTTAGAGGAACAAATGCGCGGCT